GCAAAACTCATCTCAAAAGAAGATAAATCCAAACCATTGATTATGCACGAAACATTTTTTTGAATTCCTCCCTCTTACAGTAACGCCTTCAAAACAGCAATCGTTATCTAAATTGGAGCAGGACGGCTACGGTGGATTGACTTGTGGGATGGCAATCGCGGTGATTTGCACTCGTTAGACAATATGCTTCCTTCCCCTAACTCGCTCGGATCCGTCCAAGGAAATCCCGAATCCATTAGTTTAGTTTTGAGGTCAGTGAAAACTGCTCTTTCAATCTGCCAGCGGGGATTAGTAGGGGGGACAGTATTAAATGCAGAATCAAAATCTGCAAAGTGGATTGGAGCGTGCAGTTTTTACAACCCTCCACATGCCCGTACAAAGCTGCCCCCACAGCAGCGTCTGCCCCTCTTGTGTAATGATGAGCAAACTGTGGCGTCTGGGACCTGTTTGATTTTTACCTGATCTGATCAGGTAGTATTTCCATCCATGTTCACTTTAATTTATGTCCAACCAGCAGTATTTTGTGCGTAACCAGAGAATAGTTTGTATTGCCTGGCCTTCTCACTTCACAGCAAAAATGGTGAATGCGTTTTTTGTTGTTTTTTAAAAGGAAAATAAAGCTTTGATAACCTAATCTTTAGTGGGAGATGCCTCCCACTCGGCACCTTAATGGGCCCACAGACTTTGACAATGATGTACATGACACAGACACGTAAACAAATCTGCTCCAGTTTGCATCTCACTTGTCATGGTGCTCTGAATTCTCCTTTAGATGCTTTTCTTTCTTTGCCACGGGTAGTCAGTGGGTCTGTGTACTGACGCTCACATTTTTTAAGTCTGAACAGGTTTGGAGTAAAGAGAAAACAACGCTCTCGGCCCTGAATCACCACTGGTCTCTTCCCTTGCTCTCTCTTGGTATCAAGGGAGGCCATGTTGGTCTCAGATGAGGAGGCGTCGCGTTCGCATTTAAAGTTTACTCATGACGTCTGACAGGTCGCAGAGGAAGTTTTGCAGTGCTTTCACACGCCTCTTTTGACGTTCGATAATCCAGCGTCTGAGAGACGCATTTCAGCTTTAAAATCCACCGCCGAACTGTCCATCCCTTTTAGGGCTGGAGCCTCATTAGTGATTCTGTCAACGACCCGTCCGTGGACTATGTTGGAGAAGATATCGTACAGCCCGGTCGTTTGCAGCGTATCGCAGACAGAAGCGGAACACGCCGGGCCTCGTTTTATGTGAGCGTTTTAATGGAACCTAGATCAAACATGCAGTGTGAGGAGAGGCCTTAGTAGAGCAGATTTAGACAGGCTACAAGCAGTAAAACCCTCAAACGGTATTTAACCCCTGTGACTTCCTATTGACTTGTGTGCTCTTGACAAACAAGTATTGGTTTAAAGCAGTGAACTCCCGTACACATTGACAAGTCAATAATTCGTGAGGGGATGGATGCAGTGAAGGTGTCAGGGACTGGCAGTGTTTCCTCTAATCTACTGAGATCCCTTTTATAAGCTTTAACAGTTCCATTTCTGCCACAACTTCCCAGCTGTGCTTGTGAAATTCAAACGAAATGGCATGGGAGAAAAACAAAAGGCAAAAGCCAGCATGAGAAAATGGATACCACGTTTATTTGTTCTTATCATTTAGAAATGCTGAAAACAGACATGTTTAAAATATGTGTGTGAGTCACTTCCTTCTTGTTTTCCTGTGTTTTTAATGTCCAAGAACAATTAACCGACCAGGCTTTGTTTCTGAAGATTGAGTAGTGGCCCCGCATGTTTAAAAGGAATTTAGAGTTTCAAAGCTTATTTTCTATGGTCAGGGATGCAAATGTATTTCTGTTAAGTTGTGCAGTATTGTGTACGGTCACATGGGTCACTCTCTCAAAAAGAGAAACACAAATCTATACGTCTTAAATATGCAGAGCTGCAACGCCCTGGGAGGTCCAATTTTTTGGATAACACAATTATCAGAGAACACGTGGTGGCATTTCCCTTTTTTCGATGTAGCATCAAAGAAAAAATACCGTTTGATTTGATATGTGTTGCCATGGGTACCCTCACCCCAAAAGAACCCAAAATAGCAACAATCTGAACTATCAGTTACAGAACTAATGGTTCAACTCCTGGGGAAAAACATCGACAAGAGCCAACCAAAAATGATATGATGAAATGGCCACTCACCTGTAAGACGGGCTAGGAATCAGAATTTAACTTTGAACTGATCAGAAAATATACAAATATCATAGAAATAAATATCTACCAACGATAAATAGACATCAGACTGTCCTACATAAAGATTTGTTGGTATGTTCAAGAAACCTGTGCAACGACATGCAAGTTTATGTGGTTTAGGTGTTCTTAAGAATCTGGGAATAACGTGATCAGGATCTAGACCAAAATGTGACGAGGGCCTCTTTATTCACACTTCATATCGCCATCCAGTTTCATGAAGTACAGCTTGGTTGTTTTTCTGTAAACTAAAGTCTGAAAAAGACATGGTACTCCGCCTCAGAATTGGCCTTGGTGGAGGTAGAAAAAAAAGAGAGCAATTAACTCCTGGCAGCTCATGCTCCTATGATGTGTGGGGTGTGGTCGGGTTTTCTCTGAAAAGGTCACAAATGTGACTCATGCAAACTGAGACTGGGAGGCACTTTGTGTAAGACTTATTTTTCCATCTCGCCATGTGCATTCACTTTGTCCACGTATCGAAAAAAGACGGAGTCACCGCAAACGGTTTTTCGTTTCAACTGCGTTGCACTTTCACAGGAGGGAAGATTCATTTTGGGATGCTGTACAACAAACAGCCACAAGAGGAAGCAGGAGACAAGCGCATGACTCTCTCCCCCCCCAGAGGAGTGCTGAGTCACATGTTGTCTTTGGGTAGCACACAAAACCACAGATATGACCAATCACTGACAAACGAGCAATAACTGACAACAACAAAAAAACAAATCCCCAGCGCTAATGACAGCCCTCAACACAAAGAGACTCCTTTATTGGATTCCCCACCACTGAAATTCAACACTCCTCCACTAAGTGGCACAAACTTGATGTTTCACAAGAGATTCCCAGTCACTTCTGCCAATCTGCGCTTCATTAGGGCTGATTGCTTGCCTGTGTGAGCTACTCGCTGAACCCAGTGGTTCAGTCTGCCGGCCTTGTTCTGATTAAAGAGGAACCTCATAAATACTCGGCCGCCCATAAACGATTTCCTCATTACATCAAAGTCACACGGAAGTTGTAAGCTGATTTTTACTATTCTAACTACTCACAGGCACCACACACCATCAAAAACAACCCAACCCCGCGGCTTTAAAAAGGCACTGACACCGAGCTGAGTGGCTGTGGCAGATTAGCCCATTCAAACCCCAGTTAACAGCGGCCATAGATAAGTTTAATGGCAGGAAGAGCCTAATGCCCGACAGGATAAGTGCAGCGGCACGAGAGTTAACTGGCCCCGGACAGGGTGTGCTGGTAATTAATGAGCAGGTCGATCTCAACTCCATGGAAGTTTTGACACTCCTACAAAACAAAAGAGATCAACATGGATTTTGTTTTTTGCCAGTTAGATAAGAAGTGGTTTCTTGGACTGCAGGTGACTCGAATACATTGGAAGAGTCCAATGCTACTTTTGTCAGACCAGACCAACACAGTATTCAGATGTGGTCCAGAAAATCAACGTGTCACAGGTCCATCCAGAGAAGAAACCACTCACAAACTCTGCCTAGAGTAAAGAAAAAAACTGCTTTACCAGCCGGGGCGGGTGGGCGACAGCACCGTGGTGACGGGAACTATCCGCCAGGCTGGAAAATTTATGAGTATCATTTATGGTTTGTCAAACATCGCCTTGAACTGACCACGCTCTGATGGGAAACACAGGCAGGGAGCACCAACACGCTGGCACGCACTGAGAGAAGCTGGGGGGGGGGGGGCGACAGCTGGACGCTGCGCCGGAGACGTTTCACAAATCCCCCACGATGCATTTAAAGGGAATATAGATGCTCATGCTTCCATTTTTTTTTTGCTACTTTATTTTTTTGCATTTTTTTTCCACATACAAAACAACAACGTCGCATCTGCAATTCAAACTTTGGTGTCGGATGGTGAAGCATTCATGTGGGAAGAAAATATGAACTGCATAGCAAAATATAGCCCCTTTCAGATATGTGCAAGAAGAACAATAAATATATATTCTGTACCATATTCTTATCATAAATACAAAACATACAGTAAGGCATTCTTACATTTTCCAGCATTGTATTTCATGGGAATAGATATGTCTTTGTGCCGTAAATGTGTTGGAAAGGAATTAGGGAACAGTTAAAGTCCTTTTATTGCCATGAAAAGATTAAACATTACCAAAGGTTCTGTAGATTTTGTTTTGTAATGAGCAAGTAAAGACTGAAACCTGGAATTTATTTATTTTTTTTAACAGGCAGACTTGAAATTGACCTTTTTATGTTCTTTCTTTCTTTCTTTTTTTTATAAAAAAGGGCAACGGTTTCTTGGAAATTAAAGAAATGCTTCACTGATATGTTTAACATGGCCTGAGTTTCAGAAACATCCATTAATCCACGCCAGTCTACTGCCACGAAGGCCCTGACGGACACAA